ACTGGAGGTAGAGGTTAGGGGGAAGGAGGGAATGGGAAGGAGAGGAAGAGGCTTGGGTGGGCTGGATGCTGGAGTCAGGCTGGAAGCAGGATGGAGGGGAGAATAACAAAAGAGAGGTCTTGATGGGCGGCCATATTGGGGTTAGGGAGAAACTGGTGCCAGGAAAACCTCCAGAAACCCACAAGGATGACTCCAACTAAGACTCCTGGCAATGGTGGAGAGGGCACCTGAACTGGCCATCTACTGTAAGCAGACTGGTGATTTCCTTTATTGCTATCAGAGACACTTTATCCAGTAACTTACAGAAGCAGAGGCAGAGATTAACAAACAAGCACTGTCCTGAGCTCCTATTCTTGTGGAAGAAAGGAAGGAGGGATTGTACCAGCCAGAGGGGTCATGATTGGGGATCATATAGAGACAGCTGACCTGAGATCACAGAAGCACATGGAAGTTGGATCAACAGTCAGGAAGCCTGAATGGGACCGACCTAGGCCCTCTGCATGTGTGTGATAATCCTGTAGCTTGGTCTCTGTAAGACCTCTTTTTTTTTTTTTTTTTACTTTTTTTCTTTTTATTGCACAAACAAGGCTGATACAGATAGACGTAACAAAGGCACAAAGCGGTTTAAAAACCGGGGGTTTTTGAAGCAAGGATCTGGCTTACGCTATAGTAAAACAGAATAGTAGTAATGGCTGAATGAAACCAAGAGCACGGCCACTAACAAGGTCCAGTGGTTCTCACGGTAGCGTGCCGAGAGTGATGGTGGTCGGCTTTCTATCTGAAGGTTATTACCGGCACTGAGTAGACGCAGCTTGAGGCAGAACAAGCGTCCTGCTGTGTGTGGTTTAGGTCAGTCCCACACACAAACTCTTCTGCTCCTTTGCGACTGTCTAATGTCCTATCGGACATTTATGCAGGACCTACAGTTTGTCTGAGAGACACACGCTTGTCTTCTCTGAGACAAACTGTAATCTGTCCTGTCTTATTATCATTAAATTAAAGTGATCCCGCCCTTCCCTTCACCATAGACAGATAAGGGGCGTGGTCTGCTTCGCTGTGCCCTAATGCTGTCTGGTTTGTGTCACCCATCCCTTCTATTTCTCACTTTCCTGTACTTCACCCATTTCAAGAAGTTGCCTCTGCTGGACTCAAGTCCAAACCTATTCATAGAGTTGACGGCTCTTTCAAAGCGTAGAGCATAGTCATGCCTGAGCCCTTACACACACACTGAAGTGTATGACATAATGGAGTCGTCAGATGCCTACATTACCATGAATCAGTGTGAGCTTAGAAGAAAGGAATTGGAGGGACACGTATGGACATTAGAGTAAAAACAATGATGCAAGTCATTTGCAAATGTCAGCTCTAACTGTTCATGGTAAGAACGAAATACCTTCATTGAAATAAAGATACTGCACAAAAGAACAGACAGAGAATGAAGAGATATATTCTTACAGACGAGCTGTAGGTCATACATGAATGTCTGATGAGACATTCAAAACTCGAATAGGGCGCAGAATAATTTCTTATTGTGAGAAACCGCCTAATGTATCGAAAGATAGGTAGTGGCTCTCACTCACTAGCTAAATCCCAGTAGCGCCCTCCCCCGCCCGCAGTCATGGCAACCATAGACCCTACTAGACCCGTTCATTCTTTTAAAGGTAGATCTTTTTATAACATCTTTTGCCATCTTGAGGTGATTTATAGGTAATACAGTCTACACATGAGCTTATTAAAACTTAGTTTAGCGCCCTACCTGTGTTATAATGGAGATGAAACTTAAAGATGGGAACTTTGTAATGTAAGACTTCTTTCTAATAGTGGAAGCAGAACCTTCTGGCATTTAGCTGCCTTTTGGTAACATGTTCCCCATGCCAGATTACCAGGCACTGCCTCGATGTAAGGTGAAAAGCTCAGTCCTGCCTCAATTTGATGTGCCATACTTTGTTGAAGCCCATGGGAGACCTGCCCCTTTCTGAATAGAAACTGAGGAGTGTATGGGGAGGGTGGTAAATGGGAGTGTGTATGGGGGGGAAGAGGGGACAGAAAGAGAGGAGGAAGAGGAAACTGGTTGGTCTGTAAAATAAATTAAAGAAGAAAAATGTGAAAATAATGAATTTAGAAACATCTTTCCCCCGAGGTTGGACAGGATGGAGAAAAATATTTGTTGGGAGCAGTGAGACCCCAGATCCTGAATTTCTTGTAATCTCCTGATCTGAGTGCCTACAGCTGCTCTGAGCATGAGCCCTTCAGGAGTTCCTGATGGCAGGAGAGTGGTTTCTGGTGGGTTTGGCTGGGGCATGGCTATCTCTATATAGTCTGCCCCTGAACACAATAAAGGGGGCATTCTTGGGAAATTCAAGGATGACCCGTGTCGCTATCTCTCTGTCTGTGTTTGTGTATTTTAACCTTCTGCCCCTTGCCCGAAGCTCGGTAACTGGGTGCCAGTGCACAGAGCATAGACACGGGGGTGCGGTGCGTGGCAATATTTTACCTAATTATTAGGATAATAAATACAAGTATGAGTTGTCTTTCAGGAGAAAGACAATTTGCTAGCTTAAAAACATATTCTCTCTGTCAGCAAATTATTGTATGAAATATGGAAAAATGCAAGTATATGTACATAAAAGTACTTATAGCATCTAGTCTAATAATATACATACAAGTCAAAGGATTTCAATATCTAACGAACTGGAAATTTAATTAATTACATATAGTCATATGATAGAATGCATGTAGAATGAAATTGCAATTTGTAGGGACATATTTTATAAAGGAATATATGTGTTGTTCAAGATATGATGGGATTGCATTTTGATAGTTGAAATGCATTTGATACACTTTGCCTGCTGAACATCACAGCTTAAACTTAAACTTAATTTATCTTAAAACATGCTCAGAAGATTTATGCTGGCTTATAGTTGGGTAAAATCATGTAACTTTAACAAAAAATCCTATTTTATAATAAAATACTGGATATCTTATTAATTTATTGAAAACTGTACTCAAAAAGCAGAACGTATATATGGATATAAGAGACACATATGGGCATTTTTCAAGTATCATCAGCTGCGAAAACATGAACAGTCTCCAACAGAATCATATATCCACTACCAACACCAGAAGAACATTTCCCCCCTTTTTGTCTACTGCCAATGCCTAGCACGATAAAATATTTTATCACATATTACTAGACTAGAAAATTATTAAATTTTACTATTCAAAGTATGGTTTCTCCTAAATGCTTATTGCTTTCACTAAATTGTACTGACAAAACTTGTAAATGTAGTCATCCTAAATTAGGGATCATCTACACAGTCATAATAGTATGAGAAATAAGCAAGGAAATAGAATATTCGGGATAATCTCTTTCAACCTGAAAGTTTAAAGCACAAAGTGATGTACAAATATCTTCTTGTTATTACATAAAGAAAGAAGCCAAAAGGGACTTCGGGCATGATTCATATAAGGAGGTCCTGGGTATGATTTCTATCACCAAAAAATCATAACCAGAACCACCACATGGCTGGGGATGCAGCTAAATGGAGAACAAAAATGGTACTCGAGGAAAAAGCATTCTTATTCACACATTCCAAACTCAACCATGTTTTAAGCAAAATTCATCCATTTTCAATGTAAACTCAAAGTTTATACCTGTGATACCTACCTACAGTTCTATTCTGCATAGCAAATTTCTTCTCCTTTCTCAACAGTCATATATTTCTCTGAAGATTTTCTTTACTCAATCATCATTCTCTCCAGAGTTTGAGCTATTTCCATATTTACTATACTTTTCTATTTTTATAATTTTTAACAGGTATACCCATTTCTCTTCACTTGCAGATAAATTTTGTAAGAGCAGATACTATGTATTAACCGCCTTAGTATCATAAATAGATCTGTGTAACAGAAACAGTTACCAAAATTGACCACTAACATTTACTTGCTAGATACAGCAGCAATAAACTGGTAAGTATTCCTATACTATAATGGGATGTATTAAATCACAGAAGACTTCAAGGGCAGTCAGTTACAATAAAAACATACCTATAAGCCTTTTTCTAGTCCCTAACTTCCACTATATTCCTTACCTACTTATTTTATATTTCTTTTTCATGATACAGATAACATTTAGTGAGGTAAACTTTAATCATGTTTACATTTGATTCCAGCAGTAAATTTATATTAAACTCAAGGCCAGTATATCTCAGCAGTGTTACTTCAAAGACCACATCAGGCTTGCTTACGCCCTTGGATGAGTTGCAAAGAGCTTTGATATTTTGTAGACATTTCATTTCTCTGAAAGAAGACATCTACATGATCACAGTATTCAATCTAGAAACACCATTACAAATGACAAAAACTTCAATTACTGAAAAAAAATCTACAACAGCTACCACAGAGTCAGAAAGTTTACTCGCATATAGATTTTACTTTAGAGTATCAGAGTACCAGTTTATCTTTAAAATATAAACAGAACCATGTAAAATATATTCCAATACTTATGTCCAATTTATAAAATTATGGTTAAGATGTACCTAATGAAATATCATGTGCAAATGTTTTTAAAAAGGCCTTGGTGTTGAGAATAGAATCCAAGGCCCTGTGTATGCTACACATTCACTCTATACTGAGCCATGTATATCCCCAGAACTCAAGTATACATTTTAATTGAATAATAATTATAAAAGTAATTTTAAATATAACCATCTCCTATACATAGCCAAGGTTTATAACAACAAAGTTCCAATATTCTTAATGTGACTTTTAGCTTTGCTGTTATTCTTACTTGGCATGAACTGCAAAATAAGATGCGTGGAGAGTTCTCAAGAATTCTAATTATCCTAATTTGAAACTTCCATCATCTCTAGTACCTAGACTATAGAATGTTATTAATGGTCTACCTACCATTCTAATTTGGCACCAAGTCCTAAAATCACCACTACTAAACACACTGCCATCAAAATAAGATGTAAAATAAGAATATATAATTAGCTTACCAATGTTTCCTGGTGGCTGCAATACATCTCCTGTGAGGCAGCACCATCCAACTGGGAAGATGTCCCGAGAGTCATATCTGCACCAATAATCAAATGCCCCACTCCATCCATCAAAAGTAATATAAATTTGATCTCCTCTGACAGCTCCAATTGTGGCAGGACAGATCAAAAATGGATTTTTTCTATCGACGGCTTCAATCTTCATCCCAACTTTAAAATTATTTACGGGTGGTGGTGGTGGTTCCTACAAAAACATTTTTAAATTTTTCACAGATAAGGTATATTAAGATCCATCTTTTCAGTGTGTTCTTTTATAATCCTTAACAACCAAACATAGACTTCATATTCATTAGGAAGAAGGGTATTCTTAAAAATAATAAACTATTCCTTTAACTTTTTATTTTTTCCCTGCAAAGCAAAGAATCTAGAAGGAAACAGAACTAGCCTGATCCATCCACTCACACAAGAAATATATTCTATCACATGGCAGGAATTTAAGATTCACTGACAAAAAATATTAAATATTGCTTCTAGAGAAGTATCACTTTAAAAAGTTTCCTCTCTGTTTTCAGGAAAGAAGTGTCAGAATATAGAAATTGCTCTGGAAGTCAGTCACAAAACAGTAAGTCTGTGGAAAAGCATGATGACACAGAAAGATCATGCATGGAAATTCAGAAAGATTCAGAAGTGCTGTCCACACCTTCAAGTAAGACTTGAATCTCTAGAACTAATGTTTAAATAATCTAGCCATGTACAGTGAAAACACTGGAGAAAAAACTGAAGACGACACAAGAAAGGGAGACCTCCTATACATATGGAATGGCAGGATTAATATTATAAAAATGGTTATCCTAGCAAAAAAATCTACAGATTCAGTGGAATCTCTACCAATAGTCTAAAAAATATTTTTTTTACATAAGCTGAAATAAAATCTTAAAGTTATATGAAAGCCCAAAATAATACCCTAGATAATCAAAACAGCCCTGAATAATAAAATCAACACTGGTGAGGGTGTCAGTATTCCTGATTTCAAGTTACACTATAGAGTCATAGTAGTAAAACCAGCATTGTACCAGGACAAGAAGACACGGTGAGCAATGGAAGAGCACTGAGGACCCAAGTATAATTACATGTACCTACAACTACCTGTTTCCTGACAAAGATACCAAAAACATACACTACGGAAAAGGTAGTTATTTAAACAAATTGTATTGTGAAATCTAGCTATATACATATGGAAAATGAAATTTGATCCTTTTCTCTCAACCTTCACACAAATCAAGCCAAACGAATAAAAAAATCTCAATGATAGATCTGAAACTGCAAAACTTCTAGAAGAAAGGGCAGGGAATGCACTTGAGTATATTGACTGAGGTAAGAACTTGATGAATAGGGCTTCAGTCACCCAGGATAAATACAACAATCAACAATTTTGACTTTATGAAATTAAAAAGCTTCTATACTACAAAGGAAACTGTTAATCAACTGGTCATTGTGCAGAGAATAAATGTTCTCAACTATTAACGGGATAACCACATCCCACCATCCCACCACCACAGGCCTCAGGAACCATTGCAGAAAAGAAAGGCAGGAAGATTCTAAGAGTCAGAGGTCAGAAAGAACTAGAGCAAAACAGAATCTTTCTGGGTGTGATGGGTCTATCAGATTCATGAACTCATAAGAACTTCAGTCACTATTACGAAATGAATGGTGTCCGTTCTATACCAAACTTCTGTTGAAGTATTACCAATATGAACACATTTGAAAATGGAGCCTTAATCCAGTTTGACTGGTGAGACCTAATAATAATAAGAGACCCACTAGGTGTGCACACACAGAGTTCATAAAAGGACAATAGAAGATGGTCAACTATAAACCAGTCTTCAAGGCGCCTTAATTCTTATTCTAGCCTCCCAACTGTGGGGAAATATATTTAACTGCAAAAATTACTCCACTTTGTTACAGTGGCCATAACAAATTATTTGCTAACCTGCAATTAAAAAAAAAAAAACAACAACTTTTTTCTATGTCAGAAAAGACAAAGTATTAAGCATTCCCATTAGAAAATAAAATCATGTGATAGAGGACAGAGATTTCTTGTAATGCTTTTCTTACTTTCTTAAAGAACCCTGCAGGTGCCAGTTCAGATCCAGTTAGTGTTCGTAGTAAGAACATGGGCCATGATGAAACATTCATTCTGTACCCTGTTTTATAAATTAGATACGAAAAAAACCGTGAAACTATGGTAATAGAGAAAAATGGGTTACATTCACATATCATCTTCCGAGAATGACTTTCTAAGGACTTGAATAAAAGATGAATCTTCTTGTAGCTACAACCATCACTTTGACATCTGGCAACAAAGTCAAAGTAGAACCAGAAACTTTCATTTTAGAGCAGCCATTGGATAAGGCTTGCCAACAAACACACTTATGTTGAGGAGAGGCCATAATAATACAGTTGATACAAACTGCAGTTCAGTAAGCCTTTTATTCTACAACCAAAAACCACACAAGAATAGGAAAAGGTGGCAAAAGGCTTCTAGCCCTTCTTCTTGGAACCCCTGACTTTCAAAAAGATCATGTCTGTTGAACTTCACAAATATACATATACAAAATGCCATCTTATTTTAAATTTTTAAAGGTGAAAAATTATGACTATATTCTAGTTAACAATATGCATGCTTAAGTATTTAAGGGAAGGATATTTAATATCAACTATTCTGGGATACATAAAAATACGACAGATGAACACATAAATAATAAATCAATATGGTAAAATAATGAGATAGTGAGTCTATGGATACTCATTGTAAAATTATTTTACATGTTGCATATGTCTGAAACTTTTATAAAATAATTGGAAAAAGACTTCTCTTCCTTTAGCAGTTCTTACACATACTAGACATGATCTTAAATTTAAAAGAGAAGTTACCAAAATAAGCTTGTTTAGAAATTTCACCAACTTATATCAACATTTTGCATATACAGCAGGGACTAGTTTGCTAGTCTGTTTTCTGGAGCAACCATTTTCACTGAAAACCTGCCTCCTCAAAATGCTAGAATTGGAAAAAAGTTTCTATGACCTCTTGATGAATTCATTCAGTAAGATAAAGGTGCATGTGAATCACTGACAACAGAGCTATCAACAGGCAACATATGCAAAAATGTTAAGATGGACCAAGTCATTATCAAATAAACTTTTACTGAATTCCCCAAAATATAACTAGGAAAAAAATGGTGATAGTGGAAACATGGAATGGTTGTTACTCAATTCCTACTGCCAGGCTTGACCACCTGAGTTTGATACCCAGAAACCACATGGTACAGGAAGAAAACTGATTTCCCCAAGTTGTACTCTGACCTTCACTTGTGTTCTGTATCACAGGTGTATACACCCACACCCACAGCCACCCACCCACACCCACACTAAATAAGTGTAAAAGAAATAAAAACAAGGAAAAATTAAAAAAAAAACTTTTTTGTAGTGGCACATACCTATAATCTCAGCATTTGGGAAACTGAAACAGGAGGATCAATATAGTTCAAGGGCAACATGTGCTACTTTACTGAGATACAGTCCCAAAAACATTGAAACAAACCTATCTTGGACAGGTAAAAAACCAATGAAGAGGGACTGCTAAACAAGCACCTTGTCACTAAGTTTCACTGAATCTCCTTTAAAATTACTTTAAAACAATGTTTGGTAATAAGAATTAATAATAAGCTCTTTGTGAATGTTAAGTGTGTGCTCGTCTCACTGGGTTACATTCCAGTTCTTAAACTAAATCAATTTTAATTAACAAAAATTTAAGAGATAATACTAAAGTAATTATTCTCAATATTATGTATTATTTGTTCTTGGGAAATACTTTACTAATAGGGAAAAATTCATTGTGAGTTTTACATTAATTTTTATTTTAAACATTGTAAAGAATATGAAAACTAACATCTGAAATTCACTTAGAATGAAGAATGATGACCAAATAAACTAAACACTTATTTTCTACAGATTATATGCATATTCTTCAATTCTTAAAGGTTTTTTTCTAAAATATGTCGCAACCATTTTGTATTTTAAAAACATAGTCCAACCAAACACTACATGCGCTTAAACTTAAGCCCTTTGCTAAAATTTCCATTCTCTCATCTTTTTCTATGCCTAACAGTAACTAGGTTCTTTGGTGTCTAATGGTTAGGACTGAAAGAACTCTCTCACTGTCTAAGAGGTACTGATTCTTGTACTCCTCTCATAATGTAAAATCTCACATTCTTCCTATCCTCATCTTCATACCCAAAGTGTTGAATGGCTCAATGGACATTATCAAGAGGTGTATCACTCACATGATGTATAATGGCTTCTTTTCTAAAGGAGTTTCTAAATTTACATGCATGGTATATGAAAATTTCTTTTGCTGTTTTAAATCAGAAGATTACTATAACATTTGTTAAAAAAATGAGGCCTTTTAGCACACTTGTGCAGTATGTATGAAAGTGTCTTAGTACATCATATATCCTCTACTGTAACTCCCTGGCCATGAACATGTAAGAAGGCCAAAGTGGCTTTTTTTTTGAGGGGGGTGGGTGCTGAGTTTGAGACGGGGCTTCTCTACAGACAACTTTGGAACCTGTCCTGAAACTAGCTCGTGTAGACCAGCCTGGCCTCAAAGTCACAGAGATCCGCTTGTCTCTGCCTCCCAAGTGCTAGGATTAAAGGCGTGCCCCACCACTGCCTGGCTGGCCTAAGTGATTTTTAAAAGGATACTTCAAACCACCTCTAGTGAATAGCTTAGCTTACTAGTAAGACTAGGTTCAAGAACTGTTTCTTTCTCCTTACCCAGTGGGGGTTGAAGTAAATCTCCTTCCTGTTCACAGGTCCCAACAGGCTGTATGTCTGATGAATCAACAAGTCTCCAAAAATCATTCTTATTGTCACTACCATCCAGTCGTAAACGCAATCTGGCACCAGTAGTTGCAATAACAGAAGCAACGCACACTGAAGCAAAATTGCGAGGGTCACGGGCTTCCAATTTCATACCAACTTGGAATTCATTAGTTGGTGGAATCTTAGACTAAATATATAAACAACATTGTGTTAAAATGCATGAACTATAAGAAAAACAGATGGTAAATTAAGTTACCAGAATACTTAGGAGACATTATTTAGGTAGAGTCACAGCAGGTGAATGAGGTCAGTGTTACAAGGCTCAAGGAAAAGTCTCCCTTTTGACTGACATACAGAAAAAAATTTGCTGGTTATCACTATTCTCACACATTTGTATATCCAGAAAATACAAATACAGTCTATAAAATACATCCTGAAAGACATTAAAAAATAAGAATCCTATTAAGCTATTCCCCTTGAAATGAACAAACTAGAAGTCCTATCAAAGTCTATGATAAAGTTAAACTTTCCAACACACTTCAAACACCTTACACACCTTTAGCCTTGATCCTACAGTGCTCTATCTACCTTGCATTCCAGCTACTCTGTGCCATCTCTTAATACTTAAATTGTTTTGCAAGTTTTCTTCCTTCTCATTCTAACAATCTTAAATAGCATCTGTTCCATGGAGCTCTTTCAGTACGAGTTATTATGTTTGTTATATTTGCTATTTTTGTCTTTCCCTCTAAATGGGCAATTTTAAGGGCTTACTATAGCTAGCAAAATAACTGCAAATAGATCACTTGGTTTTGGGTGGCACAAACATAATCCTACTTTCTCCTCATACTACCAGAAACCTGAAACCACATAGTTACTCTTCCATATGCTAAGGCTGTACATTAATGTATAAAGTCTCAACAGAATTTTGGCATACCTGTCTGAAGTACTCTGAAGGAGCACTTATAGAACCAGTTTCTTTCAAATATTTGTCCCAGTCAAAATAATCTGGAAAAAAAACATAAAATAGGTTAGGTTCGGAGTATATAGTTATGATTTTTTCTCTGAATAGCATAAGAATTAATATGTACATAGAACAGGGAGAGATATAGGAGGGTTCTGATGGGTACAAAGGGAAGGGGAAAGTGTTATACTTACATTATAATCTCAAAAATTAAAAAAGGGAAACAATACTTTCTACAAACCAAGTTCAAACTTCTTAATCTATATTCAGTTATGCAAGAAATAAAATCAACTTCCTAATAATAATGGTCCTAATGGAAATGATAACCCATATCCTCTCAATGAATTGTGGACTAAAGCAGAGTAATTTTGAAGGAATGGGTTGGGGGTGTGAAGTAGAAGTAGAGGTTCAAGACTTTACACTGCAAAAAAGGTGTGGATACCATAAAAAACTAGAAAAATTTATACATTAGAAAATTTGCATATGTGTCAAATATACATTTGATCATCAATATTGTTGACCTTATACCACTCCATTAATATGAAGGCACTTTTTTGGGGGGGGGTTGCGGGAGGTCCTTCCGCTCCTCCAGCCAATAGCCGCTGAGATACCAACCCATTGGGGCGTGGTCTCTCTCCCTTTAAAAAAGTAGCCACTTCCCTTCTCGCTCTCTCTTACTTCCTGCTCCGCTTCTGGCAACTAGACTCCCTTCCTGCTTGCGCAGAGGGCTGTTGTCTGGGACGGTGATCTGTAAGTTTTTCCCCTTTAAATAAATAACCATTCTATTAATCATAGTTCTAAACTGGTGTGGGATTATTTTTGACTTATGCCTTCGCCTTCGGGGGGGGGCTAAAAGTGATTAGTATGTGTTCTAACAGAATTTTAACACTGCAATATTTTACAAAAAGAAAATTCTGGAGAGTAAAAAAACATGGTGTTAAGATAGAGCAGTAAACAGTGAACAGTGTGGTCACTGAAATGGATGATTTTAGTGCTATACATGTTCTATAGATTCTTGCTGTGCTCTTTCAAGAGTCTTTATAACATGCCACAGTGCTATCAGAAAGTAGTCTCTCTTCCTGGATTGAACACTTTCATTATGCTAGCCAGACCGTCAGAACACTTGAAAAACTGACTAGAAATACTACAAAACACATATTCATATATAGAGTCTAATTTTCAGCAAACAGAAAGTTTTTATGTTCTTGTTAAACACTGTAAATTTTTGACTTCTCTTCCCTAGGTGAATCTCTGTTACCAGTTTCTGATACACAGTACTACTTTTTTATCCTCAGCCTCCCTTATGTAAGATTTCAACTATTTTGATTCAGTTGCAATACAAAATGTTAAAGAGAGAATTCCAGAGATAATTCATAAGTTTTAAATTGTACAGTTGCTGTAAGTAGTGTGATAAAATCTCACATTTTCACACTCTATCCCACTCAAGAGATTTATGCCACAAATGCAACCAGCCTGCTAATCACTTAGCAACAACTTGTCATCAGGCTGCCGGCTAAAGTAACAAATAGACGGTATTCAAATATCTTACCTTACTTTCAACTTAACAATAGCCACAAAGTGCAAGAATATTAATACTTGGTAATTCAGATATGGCAGAGTGAAACCATAAAGGGCTATTCTTTCATTAAATGAAAAGGTAAAAGCTCCTAACAATGAAAGAAAAGTAGTATGCTGAGGGTCCTGATATTTATGCTAATAGCTAAGAATCTCTTATTGCATCTTATTTATAAATCAAACAATTATCACATATTTATATGTAAAGCATCCATTACTATGCAGTTTCAAGCATCTAACAGAGTAGGATCTTGGAATACACCTCCCCCAAGGGAAGGACTATTACATCCTTCAAAGGATAACACAGATATCTAACATAGAGATTATTTAACAATCAATTTTCTAGAAAATAAAAATAATAAAACCTGCTTTAAGTATCTGTAGATTTCTATAATATAAATATCGATACTATGGCTGACTACAGTATGCCAAACCAAACTTATTAACCACTAAGTTGGAGGAAAATGTGTACAACTAGCTCCTTCAAGTCAGTATGAGCCATCTCCTGTATACCATAAAATATAATAAGTATTCACATATCTATGCATATCTAATACACATGTTATATATAAGAGTACAGAAGTTTTCATTTAACTCAGCCAATTAAACTCACAGTTTGATCCTGCTTCTAGATGGCATAAAGTGAGTACTCCCACAGTTATTGAAAATGAAGCAAAATGTCAAGAACATGTACTTCAGAGTCAGATCTCCCTGTTTTCAGTATGGGTCTATGACTTATTATATAACCCTGATCATATCATTTCACTTTCTCTGCCTCAGTTACCTTATGTAAAATATGTGAAAATGAGTATATATGGTACTATGTGTGTTTAGAATTAAATAAAATAAAGCCTACGGGTACTAAATAGTGTACAGTAAAAGATTAATGTTAAAATTGTCCCTAAAGTTGTAAATACTTAGCTTTGTCCAAAGTAAAAACTGAGATCCAAGTCCACAACTAAATTGTCAAAATATTTCCATGGTCTCCTAACATAAAAATCAGAAGTGCTACAATTCTAACTGAAGTTCTAACAGCACATGATCCAACAGAGCAATAAAGGAACAAGAACAAAATAAAACATAAATTACAAACAACAAAAGACTAAGATATAGTTGAAATTATGACACCTCAAAAAGGAAAACAATGACTACAATCTTTTCCCATATACTTCTCAGAGAGCTAATCTTCTTCTTTGAAGCAGTATCTATGAAGATTTTAGTGAAATGAGAAAATATTTTGAATTTTGCATGCAAATGGATAGAAATAGAGAACATTATCCTGAGTTAAGTAATCCAGACCCAAAAAGATGAATATGGTATGTACTCACTTATTAGTGGATTCTAGCCATAAATAAAGGACATTTGAGCCTATAATTCATGATCCTAGATAAGCTAAATAGGAAGGTGTATTCCCCCCCAAAAAAAACCATGTAGTTATCCTCCTGGATATTGGATGTATACAAGATTTCCAGGCAAAAATTGAGAGCTTGGGGGTGGGGTAGGGGTAAGGGGAGATGGGGAGAGAGAAGTGAGAAGGGGAGGATGGGGAGACCTTGAGGGAATGGGACACTTGGGATGGAGGAGGAGTGGATATGGGAGCAGGGAAGTATATATCTTAATTAAGGGAGTCATTTGAGGGTTGGCAAGAGACTGGACTCTAGAGGGGTTCTCAGGTGTCCTAGGAGATGTCCCAGCTTGTTCCTTGAGCAGCTGAGGAGAGGGGGCCTGAACTGGCCCTATACTATACCCACTCTGATGAATATCTTGCATATCACCATAGAACCTTCATCTGGCGATGGATGGAGATAGAGACAGAGACCCACGTTGGAGCACTGGACTGAGATCCCAAGGTCCAAATGAGGAGCAGAAGGAGAGAGAACATGAGCAAGGAAGTCAGGGCCACGAGGGGAGACCCACCCACTGAGACGGTGGGGCTGATCTAATGGGAGGTCACCAAGGCCAGGACTGGGACTGATGGAGCAGGTGATCAAACCGGACTCTCTGAATATGGCTGACATGGAGGGCTAACTGAGAAGCCAAGGACAAAGGCACTGGTTTTTTTATTCTACTCCATGTACTGGCTTTGTGGGAACCTAGTCTGTTTGGATGCTCACCTTCCTAGACCTGGATGCAGTGGGGAGGACCTTGGACTTCCCACAGGGCAGGGAACCCTGACTGCTATTTGGACTGGAGAGGGAGGGGGGAGGGAAACGGGAGGAGGGGGAAGAGGTGAAAATTTGTAATAATAATAAAAAGAAAATATTTAATGCATCTGATCAAAACTTTTCTTTGAGATGAAGTCTTGCTACATAGTCTGGGCTGACCTCAAACTCAATCTTCCTACACAATTTGTAAATATTCTATCTTCATTTGTATCTGACTTGGCTATAATCTGAGTTACCAATTTCTATCCAGTAGTGTTCTAATACCATAAACATTTTCTATCATATTGTTAGCCAATGTCAATCTGTAGTGTATACCAAGACTTACATTGCTTTACCAAAATTGTTCTTGGCTTCCCATGAGATAATCACTACCATTAACACAACGGAAACACACATGGATCCAATATTTATTAGTTTAGATTTAACACACCTAACACCTACATCAACACCACAGTTGGTATTCCTAACCAGCAACCAAAAGTCAGCCTGAAGTTTTTTCTGCCTTTGTGTCATGTTCTCATTAGAATAGGAGAACCTGAGGTCATTTTCTCGTGGGGAAGATATCTAGAAGCTGATGTAACTCTTCAAAAGACAGGTGCATATATCTTAATTAAGGGAGCCATCTTAGGGTCGGCAAGAGATTTGGTGCTAGAGGGGCTCCCAGGTGCCCAGGGCGATGTCCCCAGTTAGTTCCTGGGGCAGCTGAGGTCAGAGAACCTGAAATGACCCTATCCTATAGCCATACTGATGAATATCTTGCATATCACCATAGAACCTTCATCTGGAGATGGATGGAGATAGAGACAGAGACCCACACTGGAGCACCGGACTGAGCTCCCAATGTCCCAAGGAGGAGCAGAAGGAGGGAAAATATGAGCAAAGAAGTCAGGACCACGAGGGGTGCACCCACCCACGGAGACAGTGGGGCTGATCTATTGTGAGCTCACCAAGGCCAGCTGGACTGCGACTGAAAAGGCATGGGATAAAACCGGACTCTCTGAATATGGCGGACAATGAGGGCTGCTGAGAAGCCAAGGACAACGCCACTGGGTTTTGATCCTACTTCATGTTCTGGCTTTGTGAGAGCCTAGCCAGTTTGGATGTTCACCTTCCTAGACCAGGATGGAGCGGGGAGGACTTTGGACTTTCCATAGGGCAGGGAACCCTGACTGCCCCTCAGACTGGAGAGGGAGGGGGAGAGGAGTGGGGGGAGAGGGAGGAGGAGGGAAAAAGGGAGACGGGGAGGGAAATGGGAGGCGGGGAGGAGGCGGAAATTTTTTTTTCAATAAAAAATTATATTAAAAAAAAAGACAGGTGCATGCACGTACATAACTGTGTGATCTGACTAGTGTGCACACACATCCACAGAGTCCTTCTTCATATTAGCCTACACTCCATTCTAATTTATACATTAGGTCTAACATATTGTGGAACATGGAATATAATAATCTCTATCAACCTCTTTGATTTTCTCTGGAGTGAATCAGGATTATAATGTATTTTTATCAGGGCCAGGCTTGGGTTCATATGCTATGTGAAGATGATAAGCAGGAAATATCTTAGATGAAATTTCTCAGTTTCATGAACAACATACATAGCATTCATTACAACTATAGTTAGGTATTTACTATCTACCAACCCACTGAAGATCAGAGAAAGCAGGAATCATACCTGTTCTGTTTGGCACTAGATTATTGCATGTGTCAAGCATTATCCAAAAAAAAAAAAAAAGAATTTACCTCTAACAGTAACTCACTGATTACTAAAATGAAATGCCATGGTCTAGATCCTTGAAAATATATTCATATAATTGCCTAGTTGATTAGGTAATCTCATCTATATATAAAAAGTCTGATAATTTCAATTGACAAATTTCTACCATTAAAAATTGGACAAATTCGCACTTAAATATACAATTGTAATTTCATGCAATCTTTATCAATTCATCTTTAAATAAATTAAAAGTTAAAATATCACAGTACATTTTTAACCCTTTCTATGACTAAGATTCCTAAGGTATTGGAAGTTAGTATATACATACTATACCAGAAGCAACATGAGTTCATTATAACACTGAAAGAGGAAGAAAAATCATGTATTAAATAAATTACTTAAACACCTACTTCTTTGCACAGAAGATGTACTTGAATGAGTTGTTTTTTCTTGATTGTCCTTCTTGACATCCATTGATTCTAACCAAAGGGAAAGAAAATAAAATTGGAATAGTCTGAAAGAACACTTCAAAGATTATAAAATTAGTTTAATATTTAAATGAGAACATGTTTAAATTTTATGATTATCTTCATTTGCTATGTGTCCTAATACCTTCTAGTGCATTCTACACTTTATAATTTACTTTTCCATTTTCTTTACTGTATTTTTCACTACTAAAATGTTTTATAAAAATAAGTATTTAATTCTGCCTATGTTGCTCAGTAATACATGTTTGCAACATAGACCAGGATCTGGGATATATAATGCACTAAAACATTTGTTAAGTGAATGTGTCAATAATCTAAATCAACTGTTGGTGGATCCTTACACTGCTTAAAATAATTTCCTAGAAATAAGTGATGCTTTCAAGTGTTTAAAAAAACATCATATGTAAGCTAGAATAGAACACAATGTACTTCAATGAACTAACTACTCAGGTTTTTCTCTATGCTAAACTACATATTTCAATGAGGACTCAAAATTCTTGAGATGTCACCAAATCTAAAATATATCACTTCACTCAGACAAATTAGAGTATATATGAAAGAAATAAATATAAAATATAATGCTAAAATATCCTAAGTTCTTAATATCATCAAATAATCAACAGTATCATTGTTTTTCAAATGTCTTTCATCATCTTAAGTGTGAATGCTTGAATCTCAGGACTCAGAGTTTCCATATAGCAATGGTTGATATGTATTTCAGGTTTTGATTAAGAAATCCTTAAAGGTCTATGAATATTTTAGGGAGACAATTCTGATTAAATTGTCTGAAGAAATCACACACTTAAAAAATTTACTAAATAGTTCTATAGTAAGAATTTCTATGACAAAAATGTTAACAGCATGGGTCTTTTTCTAAGGAAACCAACAATCTATTTATAAATACTATACCAAGGTGAGCAAACAAATAAACTAAACAAAATTAAAGGACAGCATCCAGCACTCAACATGTGATCAGAAGAAAGCAATAAGATAGACAAGACTTGAACTAGGATAAAGAGGCAAATGTATGAAGAATGTATTATGGCAAATAAAGCACAACAAAGTGCAAAGAGGTGTGGCATATGAATGAGTCAATAAGCAGACTTCTACAGAGAAATACAGGATGAAAGAATTAGTTATTCATATTACAGTTAAAAGAATTGAATTCTATTTATTCTTTTTTTTAGTTCCTACTTTCTACTATTTTTAATTTTATTGTTTGGTAGGGTGAACTGAAAAAAAAGTGTTTTTTACATGCTAGGCAAGTGATGGAGGAAGGTCATTGGTTAAAAAAATAAAGAAACTGCTTGGCTGGCCCTCATAGGTTAAAACATAGGTGGGAGGAGTAAACAGAACAGAATGCTGGGAGGAAGAGGAAGTGAGCTCAGAGACGCCATGCTCCCCTCTCCTGGGCAGATGCAATAGCTCTGCTCTCTGAGGCAGACGGGATGAAGCTCCGACCCGGGATGGACGTAGGCTAGATTCTTCCTGGTAAGCCACCTCGTGGGCTACACAGATTATTAGAAATGGGCTAGTCCAGGTGCGAGAGTTAGCCGAGAAGAGGCTAGATATAATGGGCCAAGCAGTGTTTAAAAGAATACAATTTGTGTGTTGTTATTTCGGGGCATAAGCTAGCCAGGCAGCCGGGGTGCTGGGGATGCAGCCCCACCACTCTTATTACTACAGGCAAGTCCTCTTAATGCCGAAATTACATCCCCAGCCCAGGATATTTCTATTCTTACTTTGGCTATGTAAAACCCTATTATAAGACCTGTTCAATTACCTCCAAGACTTTTAGTTTTCTTATTTGGAGGCCATTGAGAAAGTTGAGCTGGTAAGAGCACTTACTATTCTTGCAGATGACTACCACAGTACCCTATTTAGGTGGCTCACAGCTGCCTGAAACTACAACTCTAGGGCATCTGATGTCCTCTTCTGTCTTCCATAGGCAACTTCACTCAAATGCACATATCCACAAAGACATAACATATATACATATAATTAAAAGTAAAAACCATTTTTAAAAGAAGACTTTATCTGAATCCCTTAAGGGACAACAGAATAAATAAGGGCAATAAAACTGACTTTAAGAAATGAATATAAGAATTCCAAGTATGTGGCAAAGAATTTATTGAGATTGGGAGCAATTTAGTTCCTCAATTACTTGATGATTATCTTCTAACTAAAGGTGCTTCTAAGAATGCTGTACCCTAATCAATTTTCAATAAAATATGTCTACAGAGAAATCTAAGAAAGCATTTCTTCTTTCAAATATGGAAAAGAAAATAATTCTGGAAGGAAAATACTAGAAATAGAGTATGACAGTATTCAATAGGGAAAAAGGTATAATCAGCAGGTAATTGTTTAATACTATGTTATTTGTTAAAACATTTTAAAGGCTTTATTTCACAAGTTCAGTATATGCGAAGATACTTGTTAGAAACAACTAAAAACAATCTTTAGATAAGCAAATCTTACCTTCATTCACTGTTTGTCCCATGGTATTCCCTTCTCCTCTATTTTCCTAAAAAGCAAAACAATTAATGCCTTAAGTACCATATATCTCTGACATGTAATAGTAGCAAAATATGAATTTCAGAGTTGGATACTTAAATAAAATGAAAAGCTTCTAATGGAACACGGGTAAGTACAGGGCTTTGTTTTAGGGTCTCAAAAATGAAAGGGTAAATCAGAGATGATGGTAGATTGGCAGTCACTGAATTTTGATTTAAGGCCTTTAACAGAGCCCTCATAACATCGGTGAGTAGAAAAACCATAAATGCAATGAAAAGTTCCACAAATCAAATCTTCTAACAATAATTACCTGTTAAGAGCCAAGTAAGTACTGTGGAATAGGCCTATAATTTCAGCACTCAGAAAGCTGAGGCAAGAGAATCTTAAATTTAAAGTCATCCTGGATTACACAGTAAGATTCTGTCTCAAAATAGTAAATTCATTTTTAGTGGCAAACTGCTTGTTAGGAGACCTGATAGATTTAAACTACTATTAATTAGTTTTTTCCCTGCATGTCCTCAACATGCCCCATATTCTAAAACAAATATGAAAAAGAAAATATTAGACCATCCTTCTATGAGAAGAGTCCAATCCAAGAAATATTAATAAAACACAGAATAAGCATTAGGAAAAAGATCAGGCGCATATATTTGCCTGTTGTTAAGATGGGATGGTGTACAGACTGAATACAACTTGGTAATTAAGGGAATGTATTTATGAAGTTATGCAGAAAGATTTCTATATCTCTAGCCCAAAAGATTTATTTGCATTTAAAGCCTCAACTCCCCAAACTTTGCTGCTTCTGATAGTTTTCTCTCACCAATACCAATACTTCTCTCAAGACTTAGCTGTACATCTGTTCTTTCACTCAGTGGCCAACAATAGACTACGCACCTAATTACCCTTCCCCTTGACACTCACTGGTCTATACTTTCATTCAGTTCTACCTGGAGTAGTAACACAGCTGTTCAACTTGTTTTGCCATAGGTGTACTCTTCTACCATAATAATGCATAATGTCAGATACAGTCTGGGCTGTTTTCCTCCCAATTCACCCTCAGGCTTCAACTGGCTATGCAATTAAGAAAAAAATCCAGAGCTTTCTATGGGTTAATACTAAGATCCTCCTCAATTTCAAAATCATCAGACATGTATCAATCAAACACACCATATACACTAACTGAAAAAGATTTTTGTTTCAGTGACTCACCTTGTTTTGATTACATATAATACCCTTTGCTCCTTTTCTGCTTCTTTAAATACTACCAGTTCTTAGAGACCATCAATAAACCCAACCTATTTCCTGAAAGCTTTCCCGTTTCTTTAGTCAATACAAGCATCTGATTCTAGATTTAGTTTATTCATTTACTTAATAAATAATGATATAATTCCCATGATGTGCTTGGCACTATGTGGATAGAAGATACACACTCTAGAGTTAGTAGTGGAGAATCTGCCTATAATCCTGGCACTTAAGAGGCTCAAATAGGAGATTCGTGAATTTGAAACCAGCTTTGGTACCCAGCAAGAACGGTGAGTGAAGGAAAGAAAGAATTGGGGGGGGGGGCTACAATACACAGTTTACCACATAAAATCTGGGATTTGGGGGCTAGAGAGATGGCTCAATGGTTAAGAACTCTTACAATATACTACAATATACTGAAGTTCCCAGAAAACATGTTCGGGAGCACAGATGCTGTTAACTACAGCTCCAGGTGATCTGAAACCATCTTCTGAACTCCAACAACATAAGACAGACAATAGCACAAACACAAAACATGGTAACAGGCAGGCAGGCAGGCAGGCAGGCAGGCAGGCAGGCAGGTGAGTGGGTGTGCATGCGTACTATATTTTCAAAAGCTGAGTGTTGTGGAATATTACTTTAAGCAAAAACGTGTTACATTTGTTTATACTACAGAATATTTAACTGTGTAAAGGTGTGTTGCTTTTGTTTATACTGCATTCAATGACATAAGGATGTGTGTTTAATTATATGAGGATATGTTACATTTGTTTCACCTTGCTTGCCTAAGGCACCTGATTGTTTTAATAAAGAGCTGAATTACCAATAGCTGGGCAGAGAGAGGGATAGGTGGAGCTGGCAGGCAGAAATAAGAAATAGGAAGAAAAATCTAGGCTCAAGAGAGAGGAAGAATAAGAGAAGAGGAGGAAAGAACAAGGGACACATCCAGGGCAAGAAGCCAGGCAGATACCAGCCACCCAGACATAGAGAAGCAGTGAAAATAAGATGTACAAAAGTAATAAAGATATTAAGCCCTAGGGCAAAATGTAGATAAATAGAAACAGGTTAATAAAATTAAAAGAGCTAGGCAGAATGCCCAGGTTCACAGCTGGGCCTTGGGTTGACCCACCCTAGCATCTCCCCCATCTAGGACCTGCTGGAGTTTGTGAAAGGGCTGGTCCTGTGGAACTATACCAGCAAGATCTCCAAGACACAAGGTACCCCAGAAGAGCTCTGGTGAGGATCCAGTGAGGATAGTGTACCAAAGACCAGAGGCCTTGAACCAGACCAATGACTCACTGCAATGGACATTTGCCAGTCAAGCTGATGGGACAAAGGAGTATACTAAATGACACACTGAAGCCTCCAATACCATCAGGATGAACGAAGAGGTGATGAAGAGTCAGGAGAGAAGGCAAAACAGAGAGTTTTCGGTTTTAGGTGCGGTTTTTATTCTGTTTTGATTTATTGTTTTGTTGTTGTTCTTGGTTTTGTTTGCTTGCTTGCTTACTTTGTTTTGTTTTGTGGGAGAATGCAACAGGGATGAGGAGGAATACTGGGAGACCAGAAGGTGAACAGAATTGGGGTGAAGATGTGAAACCCCAAAAAATTCAATAAAGAGGTTTGTTTTTAAAAAAAAAAACGAAAACAAAAACATAAATATGGGCTAGCCAGAAACATACCTAAGCTAGGCCAATCTTATTCACAACTAATAATAAGTCTCTGTGTCATGGTTTGGGAGCTGGTAGATAGCCTAAAAGAAAAAGCTTGGCACAGCTAAGAATTCCACAGAAGAAAATAACATTACTAAAGAAAACAAAAGTATAAGCATTAAGAGGATTTAAAATGATATTCTAGTATCAGAAAGTATAATGAACTTGGAATAAAAAAGGTTCTTGAATTTATCATATAAAAAGATAATTTCTTTTTTTGTGCTTAGAACACTCATACAAACATGATAAATGTTCCTGAAACCCACCAGGCTTTGTATAAGAAATGAAGCAAGCGCCAACCCCAGAGTAACAGTACAGGCAGGAAAGGGATTCCTCATAAGCCCAGGGGAAAAGGTGTTTTGACAGGATGCAAAGCAGCTTTATGAACAACCTTGCATAATTTTTTTCTGAGAGGAAAGAGGAAAAAAACTACACACACACACACACAAAACAGTATAATGAAGCTTTAATGTGTGGAACCCAACTGCAAATCTAAGAGAATGCTGGTAATAAAGAGGATACTAAGAGGAGAAAGGGTCAAGTAATCCACTTCTAAGCTTCATCTTTTGCTACACTAACAGTAAAATCATGAGGTTATATTTGCCTGTGCATGCATACAGTGTGTGTATGGGGGGGGAGGGGTGAGTCATTCACAGGGCTGACAGTTTCAATGAACAGAGAAAGAACAAAGTGGAATTTCAGACTGAAGACACAAAATAAGATCCTGTTTCTGCCACTAGCTTGATGAAATCCACTGTTGATCATGTTTCTTCTAGGTCCTCAATTTCCTCTATATTCTCTCAGAGCTCAAGGCTTCATGGGGTATCCATACACACACAAATCATAAAACATCACTCATCTTTCTTTGACCTTACCTTTAAAAGTCGGACTAGAATAATCATTTGGGAGGACTATTTGATAACAGCTAGAGCTGCAAGATATATAAGCCCAGAAGACAATAAAGGAGGGTAAGGCCGTAGAGATAGCTCAGAGATTTTCCAATGCTAAATTATAGCTAACATGGCTACATAGCCATGTAGCCATGAAAGTGAGATATCGCCACACAGGCATAGCACCCAATCTAGAGTCTGGAACAAGTGAGAACCCAAAGACATAAACAAAGTAAGTGAGGTAGGTTAAATATATAGGTTTTAAATGATCAGATATTTTCATTGCCAAAAGAGAAGCTATTCTGTGGCTCAGAGGTTAAGAGCACTGACTGTTCTTCCAGAGGTCCTGAGTTCAATTCCCAGCAACCACATGGTGGCTCACAACCATCTGTAATGAGATCTGGTGCCCTCTACTGGCCTATAAGATATATGTAGGCAGAGTACTACATACATAATTAAAAAAAAAAGAGAGAGAGAGAGAGAGAGAAGCTATTCTCTAGTAATTATCAGAGAAGTGGTCTAGCAAAACCCAAACCAATGTCACATTGTGCTGAATAACTCTGGGATAAATAACCACAAGTATTTTTTTCTTTAAGTAAGTTGACACTGGAAAAACTTTTGGACCCACACTGAGCCAGCCTTGTGTATTCCTAGAAACTGCTTTTTTTTTTCTTTAAAAAAAAGTTATCATTGGACATATTCTCCTCAAAATTCTAGTGACAAGTAATTGTGAGGATAAAAAACCACCTCTAACCCAACTATCAAGTAATATATGCTGCTATCCACCTCTTGTTTATCCTTCCAATTAACAAACACACACACAAGCACGAAAAATACAAATTTGAAAGTATGTATTTTATATGCACTTTCAAAGTTCCACATACCAATAATCTTCCAATGAAACTCTATCCATGTATATTATAAATTTATAAAGCCAACATTTTCAGTTAAAATCCTTTGTCAACACAGTATACAAGAGAGAAAAATACGAGTTACAGGCACAAAACACACACTTAAAAAGAGTTTTTCATTTGACTTGAAGTAAGTGTTCATTTAATTCAAATATATTGTAGTAACATGTTTCTCTGACAAAAGCACTCTCATAACTAAGATTTTTGCAGTGCTGATGGCTATCTTAAAAAAAAGACAGAAAAAAGGTGCATATA